CAGGGAATGTGCGGGTCCAGAGGGCCAGGGAAGGCGGAGCCTCATCGGCCGGGAGAGAGGCTGCTCTGGGAGCCCCAGGAGCGGCGAGGCTGTTGTGGACTGCACCCCGAGGTTTTCTCTCACTCCATGCTCCTTTCTTCCTGTCGCCTTGCTAAGCGGCTTCTTTTCGCCAGTTAGCTTGGCACTTCCCGAACTCCCTGCTTTGTTTCCTGGCAGTTTCAACCGAAAAGCCGCTCCTCTCGCTTCCCTTTCTTTCTCCGGTTTCCTTTCCTTCGTCTTTCTTGCGCAGAGGCAGTTTCTTACTCAACTTTTCCCTCAACAGTCATTTGGCTTTGAGCGCCACATTTTGCTTTTCATTCTCTCGTTCCCTGTCAAATCGCAGGAATAGGAGAGAAGGGGAGTCGTTATGCCGTCAGGCTCTCCTGTGCATTTTTACAGCCTGCCTTAAGAGAGAGACGATTACCTGGAGACCCACTTCCTTTCCTGCAAATCCCCAAGCCAAAGTCGCCTGGGCTCTGAGGGGAATCAGTACGCCGAGCCTTAACCTGGGAGTTGCCCCTGCTTGCGCTGAGGGGAAGAGACCTGCCCTGGCCATCGCCCACCTCTGGCAGAGCCGAGGCCTCCACGCCAAGAGCCAGCGCCGCCAGAGCCACCATGGTTTCTCTGCAGGATCCCGGCGAGGGCTTGCAGTCTTCGCCTTTGCCTGTGGCCAGGGGGCAGGGAGATCCCCTTAACCGGTCACTTCCCTCGCCTCCCAACCGTCAGGGTTTCAGAAATCTCCAAGAGCCTCTCCCTTTAAGTGGACCCAGTCATTCCTCTCTTCCTCACCCCTTTACACACACTTCTCATCCTCCTTCTCCTTCTTTCTTCCTCCTTTGAACATTTCTTGCAATCAGAGTTTATTCCCCGAAGACGTGCGTGTAACACAAGTGCCCCCCCCCGATCGTCACATACTTCCAAGCCCACGGAAAGAACACGCACACAGCACCAAGTTAACTGGAAGTTGCTGGATTGGACCAATTCATGGAGGAGAAGGCTCTCAACAGCTACTAGCTGTGATGGCCAAGCTCTGCCTGTGCTGCTTCTTCCAATGTCTTCACTCTTAGAGCAACTGCACTGCATTTAATCCAAATATATCTTCTTGAAAATGTTCACGTTCTGCAGAAGAAGATCCTTACATTTCTGGCAGAACAGAGCAAATTGGCTAGTGTCCACAATGTCACCATGTGCAATGCCCTTAAAGTATATTGTAAATATTGTATTGTTTTTCCTGTTTTTGTGCACCGCAAATAAAATATGTGCAGTGTGCATAGGAATTCATTCATATTTCCCCCCAAACTATAGTCTGGCCCCCAGCAGTGTCTGAGGGACAGTGGACTGGCCCCCTGTTTAAAAAGTTTGAGGACCCCTGCTATAGGTAGTGAGTGCCCTGGTGCAGGGTTACATTGTTTCAGAATCTGCCTCTCCAGGGCCACTGCCATCCATTTCCAGAATTGGAGAACTGCTAGCTCATTGGTACAGCAAATGCTTTGCATCCAGAAGGTCCCAAGTTCACCTCAAGTTTAAAAGTATTGGGAAGGACCATGAAACCCTGGAGAATTGCGTCTAGTTAGAGGAGTCAGTGGGCAAAAAATGTGTTCTCTTCCTGTGTTGCTCATTTCAGGTTACATTGACAAAGTGTTTGTCTAGGGCTTGAGATTCTAAGTGGAGGAGCTGCTGCCAGAGTGCTGTGATGGGTCACATTTTGACTTCTGCAAAGCTCAGTGGTTGCCTGAAGCTGGCTGCTGCCTCTCAACCTAACCTACCTTACTGGATCATTGTTTTGAGGATTCAAAGGTGTGTGGAGCGCTCCTGGGGGAAGAACGGAATAAAAATATTACTGCAGCTTAGCTCTCCCTTTTAATCTATACTGTAAGATGGAACTGGGCCCGACCTCAGTGGCAGAGGGCTGGCTTTGCAAGCGGACTGTGCCAGGTTCAATCCCTGGCATCTCCAGGTTGAAACTGGATTGACCTGGTCTGAAGTCCTGGAGAGCCACTGCCAGTCAGTGTAGGCAATACTGAGCTAGATGGACCCAAGAGTCCAACCGTGTGTGAGGCATGTTTGTATGTTCTTGTGCCATCCATAAATACACCTGTTGTCAAGGGATGAGCTATTACACAGAGCCTTGCCAAGTGGTCCAGGCAGCTTTCCCTCTACACACCACAGACTTGTGGTCTTGTGGAGAAAATCTCGCTTTAGTGTTTTCTGAGCCACTGCAGATAAACAACCTTTGTATTGTGACAGGATGCGGGTGGTGCTGTGGTCTAAACCACAGAGCCTAGGACTTGCTGATCAGAAGGTCGGCGGTTCAAATCCCCGCGACGAGGTGAGCTCCCGTTGCTCGGTCCCTGCTCCTGCCAACCTAGCAGTTCGAAAGCACGTCAAAGTGCAAGTAGATAAATAGGTACCGCTCCGGCGGGAAGGTAAACGGCGTTTCCGTGCACTGCTCTGGTTCGCCAGAAGCGGGTTAGTCCTGCTGGCCACATGACCCGGAAGCTGTACGCCAGCTCCCTCGGCCAATAAAGCGAGAAGAGCGTCACAACCCCAGAGTCGGCCACAACTGGACCTAACGGTCAGGGGTCCCTTTACCTTTACCTTACTGTGACAGGATTGGCCGCCTTATGTGGCATGTGCTTTTTCAAAATGTTTCTTTGTTGCACCCGTAGCATGCTGACCAGCCCTTTTGTGTGAATCATTGTTTTGCCTGTATCAGTATTCTCTCCTACATTTTAAAGTAGCATGATTTGTGTGTGGTTGAACACAGGCATGTCACTCAAGAACTGATTTAAGGGCGGTGGGAGGTAAATATAATACTTTCAGCTGAGGGCTGCATCTTTCGCTTCAGGAACATGTTCCCAGAAGTATCTGGGATTTGGCGAGCTTAACCTCTTGACCATCTCTCTGTTGTTCATAGTTTTCCCCTCCCTCAGAATTACTGTCGCCACATGGACAACTTCAACCAGTTGTGATGTGTCTGTCATGTTTTAGCTTTTGGTCTTTGCAGCCAGGAGGTTGCCCTCTTGACTGTTTTGCGGTGGCATGTTGTTGGTTTTTAACCTCAGGCTCTATTCTAATTCATGGGCATTATTTAAAGTTTCATTTGAATGAATGCTCCTTTGCCCCAAAGTGGATTGATTCTGCAGGAGTGCAGCCCATCCTTTGGAAATCTCAGCTGGCCACCTCTTTCTTCAATGCCAACAGAATATTTTTCTTCTTGAAAATGTTTGCTGTAGTTTGATAGTGGCTGGCGACTCTTTTAAATTTGTACTTTTCTGCTGTTTTGCTGTTAAATGTGTTTAGATAATACAAGCTTTTTAAATATTTATGTATAACTTTGCACACTTCTGATGAATGGCAAACATGACTCTATGTAAGGAGACAATAAAGGTTTTTCCAGGCACTTCCGGCTCTAAACATATCTTTTATCATTGGCAATACAAACCCCTGCCAGTTCTATTACTGCTCTCAATTTTTTTTTTTTTTGCAAAACCTGTCCCAGTCAGATTGAAATTAAAATGTTATATTCTATAATCTCTGTAAAGACATGCGTCTCTGCCCTCTGCTGTCCATTCTGGGAAATTTATAGGAAAAGTCAAGAGTTAAAAAGCAGAGTTGTACAGTGGTACCTCGGATTACAAACATCTCGGGTTACAAACACTTCAGGTTACAGACTCTGCTAGCCCGGAAGTAGTACCTCAGGTTAAGAACCTTGCTTCAGGACAAGAACAGAAATCACGCAGCGGTGGCAGCGGGAGGCCCCATTAGCTAAAGTGGTACCTCAGGTTAAGAACAGTTTCAGGTTAAGAACGGACCTGCGGAACGAATTAAGTTCTTAACCCGAGGTGCCACTCATGAAAATGGTATGAAATGTAGAGAAAAGACAAAAGCAATAATGTAGTGCTAGTAAGATAATTTACAGAACCCAAGTAGTTGCTCAGTTTAAATTTAAAACGTCTTGTCAAGAAGCTGTGAATTTAGAAAATGGAGACAGCAATGCTGCTAACCCTAGTGGGGCAGCTCAGTTGGTAGAACATGAGACACTTCATCTCAGAGTCATGGGTTTGAGATCCAGGTTGGGCAAATAGATTCCTGCATTGCAGGGGGTTGGACTAGATGACCCCCAGGGTCCCTTCCAACCCTACAATTCTATGATTTTCATAACACAGCACATCTGTAGTGGCATTTAGAACCTTTTAAAAGAAGATTGTTCGGTATGGTGATGTTACTCCTTTTGTTTCACAGTTTACCTCTAATGGGGAAATCTGTGGCCCTTTAGATGTTACTGGACTCCATCAGCCTAAGCCAGCCTGGCTGATGATCAGAGATGGTGGGTGTTGGAGTCTTAGCATCTCTACACATGGTCTGATGTAGAGATGGGCAACAGACTAGCACAGCTATCCCTCTGAAAAGGAATAGTATTTTTATATGGAAGCTTTGATTTGCCAGGTGTCCAGTTCTGTGCTACTTGCGGAGCAAATAAAAAGAAATAAAAGGAAACAGAGAGATACAGGCATTCATCATTCCAGTAAGAGTTGGTTTTTTTTTAATTATTATTATTATTATTATTATTTCACAAAATTTATATACCGCTTGATTGTAAAATGGCTGACAAAAAGGTAAAACAATACAATTAATAAAAATTTGCAACCATACTTAAAAACATATGAAAATTAAAATACTAAAAGATTAAAATTACCTCAACCTTATAAGCATCTAGGTAGGCTTGTCTAAACAAGAATTTCACCTGTAATGTAAAATGTACCCAGAGATTCATACTTATTCTTTGTAATGTATAGGTTGACCAAACAGAAAATATGAATATTCAGAGGGTATTTTTCAAATGAGATTCCTTCTGCTCATACAGACAGCTGTACAGTTTCTGTCCTGTTACTCTTTACCTATCTTCCTTTTTTCCTGTCGCTTTTCTTCCCTTCTTCCCCCTGTTTTTCTTTCTTCAGATCTAACTGGCTTAAGCCGTGCTGTGGGAGGCGAGCTGCTGTGTGGCAGGTATTTTTGCTCAGTGCAAGTCTCAACAGTTTCCTGGTAGCCTGTGTAGTATTGGTGGTGATCCTGCTGACTCTGGAACTCCTAATAGATATAAAGCTTCTCCAGTGTGAGTAGCAGGTTTTTCTTTTTCCTGAAACTTTTGGCAATTATATTGAGGCTAATGCACTATGGGTTGCAGGTGGGTGGGTGGGTGGAAATAGCTTGGGAATAGTGTCTAGATCAGGCTTCCTCAACCTCGGCCCTCCAGATGTTTTTGGCCTACAACTCCCATGATCCCTAGCTAGCAGGACCAGTGGCCAGGGATGATGGGAACTGTAGTCTCAAAACATTTGGAGGTCCGAGGTTGGGGAAGCCTGGTCTAGATTGTATGAGGTGTGAAGTGTATGGAATTTTGTGAAGCTCTGATGTGCTGATATTCCTTTGGGGCTCATCCCAGACCTAACATTACCCACTGTCATAGAATCATAGAGTCATAGAGTTGGAATAGACCACAAGGGCCATCGAGTCCAACCCCCTGCCAAGCAGGAAACACCATCAGAGCACTCCTGACATATGGTTGTCAAGCCTCTGCTTAAAGACCTCCAAAGAAGGAGACTCCGCCACACTCCTTGGCAGCAAATTCCACTGTCTCCCCACCTGTCCCATTCAGATGTACATTTGAATTCTCCCCCCCCCCCCCGGCAGCACTATGGGGTTGGTTGGTCTTCCAGAGTAATTAATAGGGCTGGGTAATATCTGATTTTCAACATTGCAATATGTTGTTGTTGTTGTTGTTTAGTCGTTTAGTCGTGTCCGACTCTTCATGACCCCATGGACCAGAGCACGCCAGGCACCTCTGTCCTCCACTACCTCCCGCAGTTTGGTCAAACTCATGCTGGTAACCTCGAAAACACTATCCAACCACCTCGTCCTCTGTCGCCCCCTTCTCCTTGTGCCCTCCATCTTTCCCAGCATCAGTGTCTTCTCCAGGGAGTCTTCTCTTCTCATGAGGTGGCCAAAGTTGCAATATATCACCAGCTAAACATTGCAGTATTTCAATATACTGTATCAAGTTGTCTGAAATGAGGCTGGAGCTTATAATAATCTGGGGAAATACTGAATTATTATTATTTTTATTTGATGTGTATAATTAAATGAAATTTTACTCTGATTGCATGCTTGACTAAACCATTAAAGATTTCTGGAGAATATATTACTGTTCTGTTATGGGCTTTATATGTCCATAGTAACACCTTGAACTTGACCTGGTAACAAATTGGGAACTGGTGCAGATCGGTGTTAGAAACTCAGTTAGACAATCTAGGTGCCACATGGTGCCTGAAAACTAGGTTACAGGTGCAATAACAGGATGTCTAGGCCATTTTTATGTATAACAAGATTACAAAGCTGAAAATGAATGAACTCTAGCTAAAATCTTATGTTCATTTTTAATATGGTCTTGTCCTCATTGGAAGACAAAGTCATGCTTACCCTGCCCGCCCCCTAATATTCTTTTAAAAATAGTAATTTTTATTAGTTTTCAATTATTAAACTCCAATAACAGCCACATTTTATCAATATCATATTACCATTCCCATCCAAATATAGATCAATTATACAGCCAATTATAATTTTTGAATGACTTCCTGTGTGCTGGGTTTTGGGATGCAAAGTTCTTATTTTCCCCTGCTTCCAAAATCTTAGTTAATCCAGTTGCATTAAGACCTGATCTTAGCTACAGAGTTCTTGACTTCCATTCATGTTGAGATATTTAATAAAAAGATTTTTTCCCCGCAAGGAGAGTTCTGTATCCTGTAAATTCTCTGTGTGAGATGTTTATTTTCCCATTTGCTTCTTCATTGTTCTAATCATGTCCTGCAGCACCATCTCTTCTTCCGCTTTTCCAATCTTTCTCTTCTTCTGCTGAAATTCAAGCTGCGTCATTACGCCATCTTTGTTGTTTGTGTCTGAGTAAGGGAGTAATCTGGTTTCCCGCCGTAGCTCTGGGCGAAATTCCAGTTCTCCTTCCAATTCTTAGATCTCTTAACAATCTAGCGTTGCGCCAGGTCTTCTAAGGCCATAATCCGAATTGCCATCCAGTGGAAGTTAGATGCTTTAAATCATTTCAGTGTTCTCACACAGTTCTATTTTTATATTAATACATAAATATAATTCTGTTCTCTTTTTCTCTTCTTGCTTTTTATCAATTTGTTATCGTTTAGGGGGAGGTTTGCCAAATCATTTATGTAGCAAATATAGTATATGTAAAAAAGGGTAAAAACTCCCCTCCTCCCTCACGTACCGTATTTTTCAACGAAGGAAATCTTTCCAGTTCGAAACGTTGCAACCCAGTAATGGGATTCACTTGGCAGTTTATAATCTTGTCCCCTTCATTCTGCACCTGTCTGTAAATTAGAGCCAATTTCATCCTAATAAACAGAAGCACCTCTGCTCTTCACGGCTGTGTGTGTGGCGGGGGGGGGGGTACCGATATGCGAAGCGCTTTTACACTCAGCTTCTACTGCCTCTCGGGTTCCATACCAGAGCGAGGGCCACTTATTAAGATGATCTACGAGTGAAGCTCACTCCCCCCCCCCCCGGGCCCTGGGGGAGCTTGCAAGGACAATTACTCCCAGATCATCCTTGTTTTCTTCCGCAAATGATCTCCGCTAGCATGGGAGGCTGCATCCATTAAGGCAGGAAGCACCGGAAGTCTGCCCCCCTAATATTCTTAAGAGGGTCCCTTCTCCAGTCTTCAAAGAGTGGCTGGAAGTGGGGAAGCAGAAAAATTCTCCCTAGATCCCCTTTCCTTCATATTAATACTGTATTTACTCGAGTCTAATGTGCCATTGAATCTAATGTGCACCTCAGTTTTAGGAACATTGAAACAAAAAATATTTGCTGGTGACTGTAAAGGTAAAGGGACCCCTGACCATTATGTCCAGTCGTGACCAACTCTGGGGTTGCGGCGCTCATCTCGCTTTATTGGCCGAGGGAGCCGGCGTACAGCTTCCGGGTCATGTGGCAGCAGGACTAGGCCGCTTCTGGCGAACCAGAGCAGCGCACGGAAACGCTGTTTACCTTCCCGCCGGAGCAGTACCTATTAATCTACTTGCACTTTGAGGTGCTTTTGAACTGCTAGGTTGGCAGGAGCAGGGACCGAGCAACGGGAGCTCACCCCATCACGGAGATTCAAACCGCCGACCTTCTGATCGGCAAGTCCTAGGCTCTGTGGTTTAACTCACAGCGCCACCTACATCCCTGGGTGACTGTAAATGTGCCATCAAATCTAACGTGCACCTTGATTTTTGCAACATAATTTGGCCAAAATGGTGAGCATTAGATTTGAGTAAATATAGTATATCTTTCTAGCACAACAACTAACACATATTACAGGCCTACACAACTGACAGCAGAGACACCCACCTTAAGTGTACAGTTTGCACAACCCAAGACTTCAGTGTCCCTCAGTGACCCCAACCCAACACTGGTTTAGATTTTAAGCACCACTGTGAGAGTGAATTAGGTAACACTTTAAAATGTGCTGCATTTCCCCCCAATAAAAATTCACTCCCATCCTTTATTTAAAACTTACAAAAGGCCCCAGAGTGTGGTGGCCTGCCTTCAGTTGACTGCAGTGGGATCTGTTTATGTGTATGAGGGTGTGTGGGGTTCTTGGATCAAGTTAGCCATATTGATTCATATGCTGTTGGTGGGTTCTTCTTCTTGTCCTGTTGGGCTGTGTGTGTAATAAAAGGGAGCCACACCGGGGTGAAAGCGTCCTCTACTTTGTTGTCGTTTAGTCGTGTCCTACTCTTCGTGACCCCCTGGACCAGAGCATGCCAGGCACTCCTGTCTTCCACTGCCTCCCGCAGTGTGATCAAACTCATGTTAGCAGCTTTGAGAACACTGTCCAACCATCTCATCCTCTGCCGTCTGCTTCTCCTTGCGCCCTCCATCTTTCCCAACATCAGGGTCTTTTCCAGGGAGTCTTCTCTTCTCATGAGGTGGCCAAAGTAATGGAGCCTCAGCTTCACGATCTGTCCTTCCAGTGAGCACTCAGGGCTGATTTCCTTCAGAATGGATAGGTTTTATTTTCTTGCAGTCCATGGGACTCTCAAGAGTCTCCTCCAGCACCATAATTCAAAAGCATCAATTCTTCGGCGATCAGCCTTCTTTATGGTCCAGCACTCACTTCCATACATCACTACAGTGGTACCTCGGGTTAAGTACTTAATTCGTTCCGGAGGTCCGTACTTAACCTGAAACTGTTCTTAACCTGAAGCACCACTTTAGCTAATGGGGCGTCCTGCTGCCGCCGTGCCGCCGGAGCATGATTTCTGTTCTCATCCTGAAGCAAAGTTCTTAACCTGAAGCACTATTTCTGGGTTAGCAGAGTCTGTAACCTGAAGTGTATGTAACCTGAAGCGTATGTAACCCGAGGTACCACTGTACTGGGAAAACCATAGCTTTAACTATATGGACGTTTGTCCGCAAGGTGATGTCTCTGCTTTTTAAGATGCTGTCTAGGTTTGTCATAGCTTTTGTCCCAAGAAGCAGGCGTCTTTTAATTTCGCGGCTGCTGTCACCATCTGCAGTGATCATGGAACCCAAGAAAGTAAAATCTCTCACTGCCTCCATTTCTTCCCCTTCTACTTAGTAAGGTAAAGGTAAAGGTACCCCTGCCCGTATGGGCCAGTCGTGTCCGACTCTAGGGTTGCGCGCTCATCTCGCTCAAGAGGCCGGGAGCCAGCGCTATCCGGAGACACTTCCGGGGCACGTGGCCAGCGTGACTAAGCGGCATCTGGCGAGCCAGCACCAGCGCCACACATGGAAACGCGGTTTACCTTCCCGCTAGAAAGCGGTACCTATTTATCTACTTGCACTTAGAGGTGCTTTCGAACTGCTAGGTGGGCAGGAGCTGGGACTGAACGACGGGAGCTCCCCCCGTTGCGGGGATTCGAATCACCGACCTTGTGATCAGCAAGTCCTAGGCACTGAGGTTTTATCCATTTGCGCTTTATTTTTAATCTTAATATTCATTTTTAGTCAATTTTTAATGCTACACCACTTTTTATTTTATTAGTCCTTTTATTTATTTATTTATTAATTTTTTTTTTATTCTGTAAGCTGCCCAGAGAACACTTGTTACAGGGTAGCCTATAAATGTCAAAAATAGAATGAATAAGTAAATAATGCAACTGATGATCTTTTCATTGTATGGCTCTTTAGAATACCCATTAGCATTCACAGTCAATACTGGCTTGGAGTAGGGGGGTGCAATAAAAATATTTTATTGTCTTGCATGTTGTCCATTCTGCACATCTTTAGTTGAACACAAGAGGGCAGACAGAATGTTGCACATTCCTTTATTCCTTCCAACATATGGGTTGCTGCCTTGTTGATAGCATTTTCCCATTTCCCTTTATTGCAGCCATCAGGATGTTGCTGAAAATGAACAATGTAGCTGAGGTTTTTTCCTTCTTTCTCTTAGCATTTCACAATATGGAGACAGGGCTATATATGTGTCAGTGCAACATTGCATAGGTAGTGGAGTTACAGGATTTAAAAAACAAAACAAACCTAAAAGTGAAATACTGTGTTTCACTCAAACAGATTAATATTCTGCTACAGTTTTGCATTTTTCTGTGCCTGCACACAACACTGAAAACTTATTGAGAAGAAAACAAAACTCGTACGTATTCCCAAAGTTATTTTAACACTTTGCTACACATGAAACATTTTCAACATAAAGAGGGGAAATTGGTCTACCTAAAGGCTCCTGAGAGAGACTTGCATCACAGCAAGAGTCCAGGGTGTTTTCTAAGGTCTGCTTTGTGCTGGCAGATGGCTAACTTGGAGTTTTCCTTTCATGCAGCCAGATACAGTGATACCTCGGGTTACAGACGTTTCAGGTTACTGACTCCGCTATCCCAGAAATATTACCTCGGGTTAAGAACTTTGCTTCAGGATGAGAACAGAAATCGTGCTCCGGCAGCAGCAGGAGGCCCCATTAGCTAAAGTGGTGCTTCAGGTTAAGAACGGACCTCCGGAACGAATTAAGTTCTTAACCCGAGGTACCACTATGTAAGGCCAACATCTTTTCTCTCATGGGATGTATTGCACTGTGATCATGGTAAATAATGATAAACTGTGCTTATTGTCGCTTTCCTGAGTCCTCCCTCCAAGCTACTAATCCATCGCACGCAGGCACTGAACGGGTTACCAGGCTTTTTGGCTTCTTCTCTGGCACCAGATACAGAACCTCAAAACATGGTGTGTTCTCTTCCTCCCCCACCTACATCCAGAATTAAACATGGTTGTTTAGTAATATGCCTTTCCTACAGTCTACATGAGGACAAAGGAAGGCTTAATGCAGGTCAAATTGTAGATCAGTCTCATGGCATGTGGTTCACACATCATGTAATGACCCAAGCATGCTGGCTTCCAAAGAGGAGCACGTATCCACTTTATTACTGGCTACAAATCATGGTTATGGAGACTACAAATCATGGTTAAGGAGATTAACCAAAATCCTGAGTTCCAACCCTAAACCAGAGCTTTCTGTGCTGAGGTAAAGGACCGTGGATGAACATAGCAACCACAGTCTTCTTCCTGCAAGACAGTACATTCAAACTAAACCATGCAGTCATGGGCGTTGAGTGACTTTAATTCATTCTTGGCTCTTATATTCTACTTTTGGTACCTTTTGAATCCTGAATCTTGGACTTGTTACTGAAAGAAGCTAAACTTGGAACCATGGTTTATAAACCTGATTTGTTTCAATAAACCATAGTTCAGATTAATCACAGTTTGGTTTGGACAATAATGCTAATTGCAGCTAATTGAAAACGGAGGTGAAATGTCTGATCCTGTGCCAGTAGGGGAGAATATGTGCTGGAGGCTCAGAGATGGGAGAGTTGAGAAGATGGAAAATGGAAGCAGACAAGTAACTGTAAATCATGTTAAGCTTTAAGGTAAAGGTAAAGGTACCCCTGCCCGTACGGGCCAGTCTTGCCAGACTCTAGGGTTGTGCGCCCATCTCACTCAAGAGGCCGGGGGCCAGCGCTGTCCGCAGACACTTCCGGGTCACGTGGCCAGCGTGACATCGCTGCTCTGGCGAGCCAGAGCCGCACACGGAAACGCCGTTTACCTTCCCGCTGGTAAGCGGTCCCTATTTATCTACTTGCACTTTAAGGGTGCTTTCGAACTGCTAGGTTGGCAGGCGCTGGGACCGAGCGACAGGAGCGCACCCCGCCGCGGGGATTCGAACCGCCGACCTTTCGATCGGCAAGTCCTAGGCGCTGAGGCTTTAACCCACAGCGCCACCCGCGTCCCTATGTTAAGCTTTAGTGAAGCTTAAACCAAGGTGTGCATTCTAAATGATTGTTAATAAAAATCACAATTGGTGTTATGTCTCGACTGAGCCTATATCTCTAATGCTGTGTACTAGCTGTGAATATTTACCAGTGTTTCTGCAATTGGTGGGGAGTTCACTTCTTTCATCATTTTGTCCCTTCTCTCCTAACCCGGATTTGGCCCACAGTCTCCTGGGGGGTCAGCCTTAATCAAGGCAGGCTTCAGAATGTTTGGTTCATTATGTATAATGTGCAACTTGCATGCTGGGAAACCCAAATGATGCTTCATAATAATCTTTATTTAATTTCAGTTTCAAATGCATCACAGTTTGCTGGAGTTATTCACTGGATCAGTCTAGTTATCCTCTCTGTGTTCTTTTCAGAGGTAAGTGAAATGTGAAAGTAAGTGACAAATGACAATATGGCTGAAAAAGTGGTTACAGTGGTACCTCAGGTTACATACTCTTCAGGTTACACACTCCGCTAGCCCAGAAATAGTGCTTCAGGTTAAGAACTTTGCTTCAGGATGAGAACAGAAATCGTGCTCTGGTGGCACGGCGGCAGCAGGAGTCCCCATTAGCTAAAGTGGTGCTTCAGGTTAAGAACAGTTTCAGGTTAAGTACGGACCTCCTGAACGAATTAAGTCCTTAACCTGAGGTACCACTGTACTTCCTTAGGAAATGTGTTCAGTTGTATATCTAGGCACCTAAATTGTCTTAGTTACCTCAGAACTACAATACCTCAAGGACTGCATATTTCCATATGAATCTACCCGGACCCTGAGATCATCATCTGAGACCCTCCTTCACGTGCTTCCTCCACGAGAGGCCCGGAGGGTGGCAACATGAGAATGGGCCTTTTCTGCAGTGGCTCCCCATCTGTGGAATGCTCTCCCCAGGGAAGTTTGACTGGTGCCTTCATTATACACCTTTAGGAACCAGGCAAAAAGGTTCCTTTTAAACCAGGCCTTTGTTTGATCCGATTTACATCCTATGCCCTTTTAAAATGTATTTTTATTAGATAGTTTGTGGTGGGTATCTTGATTTTATTCTGAGAACCGCCCTGAGACCCTCGGGTATAGGGCGCTATATAAATTAAGTAAATAATAAATATTTATAATATGGCATGTTAGTGCATGAGCTTTAATTTTAAATAGTTCTTAGAAAGTGCAGCTGGAGTATAATACAACTTGTAGGTTATCAATAGGAGTTGACCACCGACAGCACACAGGCCACAATCTTGAAATACCTGCATTGACTCCCAGCTCCTTCTTGGACCAAGTTTGTTCCCCCACCCCAGATGCTGATCATTGCCTTTTTAAAGCCCTAAGTCATCTGGGTGCAGAGTAACTGAAGAACCACTTTCTCTCAGAAAATCTGGCTACTTGTTTATAACTGCATTGAAGGCCCTGCTTTAGAGTCCTTCATCACAGATGTGGCAGAAGGTTATTCAGAGGATGCCCTTTTTCATAGTGGCATCTATGTTTTGAAACTTCTTCACACGAGAAGGATGATCTGCCCCCTTGCTAGTAGCCTCTTGACAGCAAGTCTTATTCCAGAGGGCATTTGGAACCCTCCAAGCTGTTTTTAGCAGATTTGTGGGGGCTGTTGGTAAGACTGGGTTTTAATTAATATTTTATTGTGCAGTGCTATTTAACGTGTTTGCTACTTGATGATGAGCTTCCTCAAGATGGACAGATGTGAGGATAAATGAATATTAAGTTCTTCTTAATATTTCCAATTATGTTTCTCTCTACATTGGGGAATTCAGAAGGTTGCAGCCATAAGAATTTGTAGACCATGTCCCAGAACAAAGGCTTTCTGCTGTGGTCACATTCTAATTATGCTATACAGTGGTACCTCGGGTTACAGACGCTTCAGGTTATAGACTCCACTAACCCAGAAATAGTACCTCAGGTTAAGAACTTTGCTTCAGGATGAGAACAGAAATCGTGCTCTGGCGGCGTGGCAGCAGCAGGAGGCCCCATTAGCTAAAGTGGTGCTTCAGGTTAAGAACAGTTTCAGGTTAAGAACGGACCTTCGGAACGAATTAAGTTCTTCACCCGAGGTACCACTGTACAGTTCAAAAAGGATGCCATACAACTGGAAAAAGTTCTGAATGAGCAAAATTTGGGCTCCAGGGATAGGAGAGCAGTTTTCTTGGAAGGAACACTAAAGTGGGAAAAGTAGAAGGCTAAGAGGAAAATATATATTAATACCATGCATAAAGTGGAGAAAATGGATAAAGAAATGACTGTTCCTCCTTTTCCCATAACAATGATTTTGATTTGGGGTTAGATTCATTATTTTTATGGTAATTGGGAACTGGTGTTTGTGTTTTGTTGTCAGGACTTATTAATGTGAATTGTTTGAGGGTTGGTCAGTCTCAGTGCAATTTGATATTTGGTGTGTTTGGTCTGATGAGTTGACTATAGACTTATTTAAGGTTTTCCTTCATATCTTTTGTAGTTTGGGCTGATACATTTTGCCGTTACTGTGGATTTTGACTCAGTATTGTTATTGCTAGGGTTTAATTCAAATTATTAAATGAAGTGTTCAGACCTCAGAGCAATTCTAACCTTGTCCAGAGACGATTAGAGCAGGTGAGCCTCCTTCACACCTGAATCCCTGCTGGCTTCTGCCAGTTAGGCCAGAAGGGAGGGCGGCCTTTTCCGCCAGGGGTGGCTGTGCTGGCTCGATGCAGTAGAGGGGTCTTAATTGGGCCCCTCACCTGGCAGGAGATCACCATTGATTTAAGTAGATTCTTAACTGGCTCAGCTCTGCCCCATACTTTAGTGCATTATTGGATTTAGTTGATTAATGTTATCCTGGGTGTGTTTGTGTGTTTCTACACTAGTGGCCAAAATTGTGGAAACCTTTTGGAGAAAGTGGATTTCCGAGGTTTGATGGCTCATACCACTTTTTTTGGGAGTAGTACCATAAAATTATGCATCAATGGAAAGATAATTTAATGAAGAATGTAATGCAACAAAGTTTATTCAATTATCTGTATTCTATCAAAAGTTATAGCCAAATAACAAGAAAAAGGAGTGTTTAGAGAGCCAATCAGGTGTCATCGTGTTTTGGCAATGATGGCTTATAACACCACTTTTTTTTTTGGAGTAATACCATAAAATTATATATCAATGGGAAGATAATTTAATGAAGAATGTCATGCAATAACTTTTATGAAGGATTATTTATTACAACAGCAGTCAAAAAGAAGAAACATGAAACACATAGAAAAAAATGAGATATACAAAAATTCTCCCCATGTCAGTTAATACTTAGTTGGGCAACCTTTAGCCTTCCCATGGAGTGAACCAAGGCTTTTAGTTTTGCATCTGTAAAAATGTGAAACCAAAATTGAATTATTGCCTCTATTAATTGGGTTTTATTGCTGGGTTGCTTCTGACTAACAAGTTTCTTTAGTCGGCTCCATACATTTTTGATTGGGTTAAAGTCTGGGATATGTATTTGGGGGCATTTACATTCCCATTAATGACGCAAATTCTGCCCACACCTTTTGCTGTCATATGACCCCAGATCATAACACTAACGGTGTTTCATAGTAGGTGTAATGCAAGTAGGATGTAAATCATCTCCAATTCTTCTCACATATTTCATGCCATCACTACCAAGCAAGAAGATTTTGGTGACATCACTCCAAATAACACTGTCCCATTGTTCCGCTGTCCAGTTAGCATGGGTTTTAGCCCAGTTTAATTTTTCAAACCTTTGTTGGAGAGATAACAATGACATTTTCCTTGGAATTCTGGCATTTAGACCATATTCCTGCAGTCTGCACCGAACAGTCCTTACACTCAACTTCACATTACATTGTACCATGTTATCTTGTATACACCCAGATGATTTTCTTCTGTCACGTAGGCACAGTCTCTCAATTCTTCTAACATCACCTGCTGTTGTGCACCTTTTCCTGCCCTTACCAGTCTGATTTTGTAGTGACCGAGTCTCCTTATATCTTTTCAAAAATTTAGAAATGCCACCTTTGGTTAAGTTTCCCCAATTTTTCTTCTATTTTCTTCATAACTGTAGCCATGTTTGCTTAATAGTACTATTTTACATGGCTTTCTGGGTGACCAGTCAACTCTTTGCACCATTTCTTGAATTTTATTACATTTTACAAGCTCACTAAATGAAAGAACACAAAGACCCCAACCAACTTGATAGCAATCACATAACACACTGACAAATGTCCTCCTCTCAGCTCCAGTACATAACATCAATAGCTGAATCTTACTGTGACCTGATTGGATCATTGCCAAAACAAGATGACACCCGATTGGCTCTCTAAACCCTCCTGCTCATTGGCTACATTCAAATGAAGGAAAGCTACTGCATATCAACCTAAGCAAGTTGTGCTTCCTTTTTCTGGTTATTTGGCTATAACGTTTGATAGAATACAGATAATTGAACGAACTTTGTTGCATTGCAGTATTCATTAAAGTATCTTTCCACTGGTATATAATTTTATGGTATTATTCCAAAAAAAGATTGCCACAATTTTGGCCACTCGTATCTGTGACAACAGCAAGTTTTTGAGATACTATGGAACATCTTGATAATGGAAAAACTGAGGTTCAAATTTCCTCTCAGCCTAACTGACATCACAGGGTTCCTCCTGTCCTGATTGAGGCTTAAGATGCATGTGGTTTCAGAGCAGGATATCCCTTAATGTGCTGAGGGGGAGGGGAACAAATTGCACAGATGAACTTAAGAGCATGCCCTGGTGAGTCTCTATAGATTACACAGAGAAGGTCATAAATAGCCACATTTATTGACAGAGATTTCCTATTTTTCCATTATTACTTGAAGTGTCGGAAATGGGTGGTTTGGTCAATCAAGACCAGAATTATAGGCCTCTGGAACATACTGAAGTGCTTCCTTCTGGCACTTCAGGTGCTTGGTTGGGTGTAGTATTCTCCTGTGATCCTCCAACTTCTTCCCTCCTCCTCACCTTGCTGTCAGAATTTATTTTGTAAGCTGCTTGGGGCAAAGACCTGTTCTCTTCTGTTCAGTTGGAAGCACAATACATATCAGAGGTGCAGTATAGAATCTGTGGATTCTAATATTACTATAATGTTCAAGGATTATTATCTCAATATGTAATGAGTGATGCCTGAGTAGAAGTGCCATAAAATTCTTGCATTTGCTCCTTGGTTGATGCTGAACTCACCAGAAACCCTTCTGTGCTAGGAGAAAAGGCAGAGGAATGTGTGGGGCAGCTGAAAACACCCTGTGTCAGTTCTGACAGGATCCCTGTCTCAGTGTGCCTGACACTTTCCCTGCCTCTATTTTTACAATAGTGCAAAAGCCAGCAAAGATGCCAGTTTACGTAGATAAAACAAGAGAAGAGAGAAACCAGTTATAATTGAAAACGCTATTGTAACTGAAAATATAGATATATAAAACATGTCTGCATTTGAGCATGTAAACCAATCTCTTATAACATTAAAAAGCCACGTTTTGATAAAGTATCAAATTTTCTCTGCAGTATTCAGTAAATAGTTTCCAGTTTGCTGAAAAGTTACTTTACAATTAGCTCTCCCCCCCCTTACTCTCCTCTTCCTCCAAGGAGCTCAGGGCAGCGTTGTGTAGTGGTTAGGAGCGGTGAACTCCTAATCTAGTGAACCGAGTTCATGTCTCCGCTCCTCCACATGCAGCTGCTGGGTGACCTTGGGCCAGTCACACTTCTCTGAAGTCTCTCAGCCCCACCTCAGGTTTGTTGTGGGGGAGGAAGGGAAAGGAGAATGTGAGCCGCTTTTGAGACTCCTTTGGGTAGTGATAAAGCGGGATATCAAATCCAAACTCCTCTTCTTCTTCTTCTTCTTCCCCTTCCTCTTCCCCCTCTTCATTTTATCTCTACAACCTACCCATGGGGTTGGCTAGAGTGAGAGATAGAGCGAGTGACCCAAGGTCAGCCCAGCAAGTTTATGGGGATTTGAACCTGGATTTTCCCTGTCCTCCGTGATCCCTCTAACCACTACTCCATACTGGCTCTGCAGAATGGCCCCTGTCCAGAAGGCTTACATTTAACATTAGGTAGAGAAGATCACTTTTTATTGAATACTGCAGAGAAAGTTCTATATTTGCTCAATCAAAATGTGGTTTTGAATATTAAAACTATTGTAAATCAATAAAATATCTGGGTTGGGGTCACCAGACAAAAGCAACTGCAAATGTTTTCTATCACTGGAATTTTGCGTGAAGGGAATGTGTGCTAAATCCTGATATTGTTCAAATTCACTTGCTTCTTTCACTGACTGTTGCATGACGGATTGAAACAGCAATCCCAGTGAATCATTTTTTCCCCAATTTTCTACAGCTCTAGTACTTGATGCTCTTCTTTCAGCAGCAGATATGTACTATGAGGTGGCCAGCCATCTGTGAAGTGTTTCGCATGAAAGATGCTTGATAATCCTGTCTATTGTATAAAGAAAATATTACCAACAGCAAAATCATTTTCTCACATCAGTTCAGCTATCTGTAGCCTTCCCCCCCCCCCCACATAGGAGATGAGAGGAGAAAAGGGAATATCCCTGTTGTCCTGTGTCTGTTCAGGGTTTGGAAAAACGTTATACTCTACCCTTCAACTATTATTTATTCATGACATACGGTGTGTCCCAAGGAGCGCAAGGGGGCCTATATGGGCCTCCCCATTCCTCACTTAATCCTCACAACAACCCTGTGAGGGTAGGCTAATACCACAGATGCATTTGCCTAAGCAATGGCGAAAGGAAATTCACAGGTAGCAGAAGAGGCATAACCAGCACAACACATGAAGAAACTGTACATCTGCTATTTTTAAAGACATTGTTTGATCCGTTATTACTAAAGTAGTACCAGCCTTCAGGCACTTGGCATCAAGCACCCTCAGTCTGTTGTTTTAGAAAGCTGTTGTGGTGATTTGAGATGTTCTGATGTCATGAAATGTTCATCAAATTTCTAGTTCATGTGGCATAAGAGCAAGGTCTGATCTATACATTCAGCAGAATGACATGATAAACAGCTTCTTCTTCTTCTTCTTCTTCATTTCCCTGGAGACCCCCCAAAAGATCAAGAAAACGTGTATTCCTGTACATGCACCACAACTAATAACAACAGATAACATCCGTAGAACATATTATTAAGTGATCCACAGGTCACTTAATGAGTGAACTCTGGAGAGTTTGTAAAGTTATGGAGTGGTAGAACAAACTGTACTGATTTGGACTGTAGATGGGGGTGCCACTTTTAAATGCTCTCTTTTCATGTTAAAAAGAAATCCTTGCAAGTAAAATAACACTACTAGCACACAGGGAGCTGGCTGGCGTGCTTCCTCCCCCTCCTATTTTACATAGAGCAAGGTAGAACCGAGAGATGGCGACAAGGGGAAATGTGGAAAGAATATGAATTGACCCCCCTCCCCATGTTCCTCATTCCTTTCCTTTCCTCCATTGTCTTCCATGTTGTGCTTTGGATTCTCCGGGCCTTGTCCACATGTGCTTTGTGAAGCACTGCTCACCTTCATGCTCTTACAGTACATCAATAATTATGCTACAAGTGGGCATGATTCTTAATTTTACACTTTTCCTTACACCTGCTGCCTCTTTCTGTCAACAGTGTTGATTCCATCCCTGTTTCTACTTTCTCCCAGAATGGAGAATATTTTGACATAACTTGCAACTTTCACATTTTAGGGTCAGCAGGGAAACCTACATTTACCTGATACACTTACAATGTTACAATGAACTTATAAAACACAACACTTTCCACAGAAAAGTTAAGCATTTGAAATTTTTAAAAAAACTTTTCTGCTCCACAGGACTGATTTTCTCCATTTTGTTACAAAAAGTTATTAATGATTAACAATGATAATGATTTATGATTTTCTCTGTCTTCCCTCTTCCCACATATCTTTTTATTAGACTGTTTTGAGAATAGTGGTTCTTGGTATATGGGACTACATTGAAAATAAAATAGAGGTAAGCAAAACCTCTGTTTTTATATTTAATAGCACCTCCATCCTTTGCAACACACTGTGCTGTGTTATTGTTTTCATTATTTTACTCAACATATATTCTGCCTTTCCTCTCGAAGAAGCCCAGGGAGGCAAATACATCAGTACTAAAAACAGTTTAAAAGGCTTCTAAAAACAGTTAAAAACATTCTCCCAACCAGTGATATATCAGGTTTGCCAAGAACAGTATCTTTCAGCTATCTGGGTAAAGAGGAATATTTTTAGCTTCCTTAATTAGCAATTAAAGAACACTGGAAAATGATTAGTTGTACTTAACCTTATTGTAGTATTTTTGGAGACTTATTGGTAGCAAGGAATGCTAAAGTTCTGTTCCATGTGTGAAGCTGCCTTGTCTCAAGTCCTGTGATTTGCCCATCCAGCCCAGGAGGGGCTCTCCAGAGTCTTGGCTCATCTCATTTGCCACCTGATCCTTTCAGCTGGAGAGCCCTTGGTCCCTCCTCAACTCTAGGGATTGCCACAATAGGACTAGATTCTGTAGCCCACTAAGAAAGTCCTCTGTCACTAACTAACTAACTAGGATTGTTTCTTCTTTATTCTAGTCTCCTCCTCTCTCAGTCGAGCTTAATTTCAAATGCCCTAGATGCTGACCTGATATTTGTACAGTTTATTATTAATTTTAATGAGTATAGTTCATACACTGGTAATTAGTGGCTGCATTTGCTCATCTTACTAAGCCATAGTGTGATTTTGATAAACCGTAGTTTGCTTTCATCTGGATCTGGAGATCTTAACTCCGGCTAGTTTAAATCAGGAGTGGGGAGCATGTAGATGTTGTTGAGCTCTCAACCCCCGTCATCCCCAGCCAGCATGGTCAAGGAGAATGGGTTGCAGTCCAGCACCAGCTGGAGGGGCCATAGTCCTGATTTAAACAGCCTAGTTTCAGTAATTATGGGTTGAAATTGGCTTGTTTAAAACTCACCGTCTGTCCAAACAACATGACAAGCTACAGTGAAATAAAGTGGTAGTGAAAGCTTCTGGATTGCTCCTCCCAGCTGTGGAACAGGGAGAGCCGCACTATGTGCAAACATGGCTCATGTGGGGTGCCTTTGTTTAATGGGTGGAGAGCTGCTTTGGCCCCAGAAACTGAGCATGACTTGACCTTGAATGAATAACCCTCTGAATTGCTTGGGACAAGTGCTGAATGCCACTAAGACATGCAAACCATTCTAAGTACCACAGTATGATGCATTGCTACATAGTTCTCCAGTGCAATGGCCCATTTCAGGGGGGGAACTGTTAAGTCTTATTAATACAATAAAACTCATTTAGCTGATCCTCAATTAGTATCTTACTGAGATTCAAGTGCTACTGCAGATGTTTGACAAAAAGCTTATCTGATGCATCCAAACGTTTATCCCGTTAAAAATGAGACAGTAATAATATCCATGACATCAATAGAAAAGAAAGAAGCCAGAAGGAGGAATGGTTTGACTCGGACTTGATGTTTGCTTTGTTGAATGCATTTTGATATTTGCATTCAAAAAAGGAGTGAGTAAAATGCTGTTTGTGAAATCCTTTTCCTATTAGGTATTTGATGGTGCTGTGATCATCTTATCCTTGGCTCCAATGGTGGCTTCTACAGTGGCGAATGGACCAAGCAGTCCTTGGGATGCTATTAGCCTTATTATCACACTGAGAATTTGGAGAGTGAAGAGAATTATTGATGGCAAGTTATCGATAACTTTTGTAAAGATTTGTGGAGGTGTAGGAATTACTTTTTAAAATAGTCAGTACCTCTTTTCAAGTAGAAAGCCAGATTTTAGCTGGATAACCCTCACTGATAAGATGGGGAAATTACCAGTGTTCCTATGGCAACTTTTTTAATATTGTTTACCAGTTTCCTAGTAGCTGTGGGTAGAGTGGGAACTCTGCACTAAAATAATCCCTAATTTAGGCAGCAGGAACATTGTGTTGACTTTTTCAGAGTGTGAAAATAAAATGTGTTCGTGTGTATGTTTCGAAATTGGGATAGAGAATTTTGGGGAACTATGCAGGGGAGGGACTAGGGAAGTGTGGGAATTGTACTTAACTGTGAAATCTTGCATCTGTGTTCTCAAAAGTAAACCCTGCTGAGTGAAACAGGAATTACTACTAGGTAAATAAGTGCAGGGTTGCAGAATACTATATGAATATTATGCAACCATAGTTATGATCTTTAATGTCCAGTTGATTTAAAGTAAAGCAAATCAAGCCCATTATTGGATTTCTCCAACTGAAACTAATAAGACATAAAATTGACCGTTTCAGAAACTTAACTGCTGTTGAATAGTAGTTGCATTTATTAGATGCATGACCATCTTTTCAAATAAACTCAGAGATCCCTTTGTTGTGGTTTCTAGCCTACGTATTACCAGTTAAGGTGGAAATGGAGATGGTGATTCAACAGTATGAGAAGGCAAAGGTCATTCAAGATGAGCAGCTGGAAAGGCTAACCCAAATCTGCCAAGAGCAGGGAGTAAGGCAAAACTATATTTTCATTTTATAAATGTGTGTCTGTTACGGATTTTAATTTGTATGCTACTTTGCCACAACATTTTTCACCCAGAAGTGGCTCGCAACACTTCAGATTATGCTAGACTCCAACTTTCTCCAACCAACATGGCCAAGGGTTAGAGATTATGGGAGTTGTAGTCCGGCAGCTTCCAAAAGACTACAGGTTCCACTATCCATACTATGGGGGTTGGGCCAGAGGATTCAGCACATGTTTTCCATACCTGAGATCTCAGGTGGGATAGCTGCTATCTCCAGGTACTCCAGACTGCAGAGGACCCAGAATAACCTCTGCTAGTCCATGCAAGCAATACTGAATTGGCTGAAGCAGTCGTCTGGGTCAGTGGAAGGCAGTGTCTCCTGCGTTCCTATGAGGTTTTGCAGAGGGATCCGAAGGATAAGAGTGTGAGGCATCTATGCCATTGAAATGCTGCCTCATACAGATAGGATGAGGGTGAACAATAAAAGGTGATTGCAAAGCGTTCAAAGTTAGCAGAGCTGTGTAGATTATTAATGACCACCCTTCCTCTCCCCTTCAGTTAATTCAGGTAGCTTTGTGGTTTTTATCCTTTTTAAAAATCAAACCGTAACACTGGAAGTTGAAGAATTCTTGTTCCCTTTCAACATGGTAGATAATTTGTGAAACAGATTTTGGTTCTAATGACTATACATTTCCCACTGGCAGCATTTTTGTTCTGCTTCTTTTTATTCTTCTTCCCCTTCTTCTGCTTCTACTTGCAATAATGTTAATTTATTCCTAACAACCAATCATTTGCCTGTTTGTTGGAAGGCAGCCCAAATCACCCTGCCTTTTATTCTAGTCTAGTTCGCAACTGTCTCTTGGTTTGCGTGGTGTTTGCTTGTTTTTTAAAGAAATAATGTTAGCAACAAAGGCCCAAATTAATGGAAGTAAACATTGGATGGTGTCCCAGTGGCAGATGAGCATTCAGGCATTCCATCCAAAGAGCAAAATGATGACTGTTGCATTAGAGAAGAGCAAGCTTCAGCTTTAAAGCTTTCATTGATCTCTCCAAGGCTACGCCAGACATCCTCTGCTACTGGCTATTTAAGAGAACTGTATGATTCACAGAGAGTTCCAGTCCTCTATATATTCAGTAAAGCACTAGACAAGATGGGGTGGCCCTTTTTATATGTCTAGCCATAAAAGGCTGGTGTTCCCTTGGGTCCCATACTGGTCCCTGTCCTTTTATGGGTGTTTATAAATAATTACTTAATGCAACGCACTGCTGAGGGGGATTTATTATAGTGTATTTAGTTCTTTGTCTGAGAGGGACTGAAGGCTGCTTCAGAAAAAGGTTTGGGGGTTGTGTGTGTTTTCTTATTTATTTAATTTAACTGGATTTATAAACTACTTAATCATCCATAACCTGTAGGAAAAGGAAATAATAATAATAATAATAATAATAATAATAATAATAATAATAATATAATATTTATTTATTATACATACATACATACATACATACATACATAGCTACCTCGCCCATCAGGCTGGGTTTCCCCAGCCACTCTGGGCGGCTTCCAACAAAATATTAAAATACAATAGTCTGTCAAACATTAAAAGTTTCCCTAAACAGGGAATGTCTTCAGATGTCTTCTAAAAGTCTGGTAGTTGTTTATCTCTTTGACATCTGATGGGAGGGCGTTCCACAGGGTGGGAGCCACTACTGAGAAGCCCTCTGCCTGGTTCCCTGTAACTTGGCTTCTTGCAGTGACAGAACCGCCAGAAGGCCCTCGGAGCTGGACCTCAGTGTTCGGGCTGAACGATGGGGGTGGCGACGCTCCTTCAGGTATACTGGGTCGAGGCCGTTTAGGGCTTTAAAGGTCAGCACCAACACTTTGAATTGTGCTTGGAATCGTAGAATATAAAATGCTCTTTTAAAAATACTAGTAAAACAGCAAGTTATCTTAAAATTCAGCAAAATATAAGTAAAACCAGCAGTTATTAAAATATACATTGTAAGATAAAATTGCATATTAAAAATATGTGTCTGGATAGGCTTGCTTAAACATAAAAGTGTTTAGCAAGGGCCAAAAGCAATGCAAATATATACACTGCATATTAGAAAAAATGAAAAGTAAAACAAGCTTGGTTGCATTTTTGTCTGTTGGTCATAAGAGGGCAGCAAAAGCACTATGTTTGTTTATATGTGTTAATGAGCTCACTATTTTTTATAGGCTTGTCTCTGACATGCCAGTGTCTCTAGCACCTGTCAGAATTGCACATCTAGTTCATTGTATCAGAGGTCTGGATTTGCAAAAGCAAAAAGCAAATCATTGTTTTCTGGAAGAACCCGGGGGGCCTGGCTTGGTAAAACCTGGTTTCAAAGAAACCAGGATGAAGTGTGTGTCAGTGTGTGCACAAGTGTGTTGACAAGATGGAGCAGACCCCGCTCAGCCACTGTAACTTGTTGACTGGTTTTAAACCTGTCTAAACAGACATGGGATATTCCTGTGCCTGAGGTGGAAAATCCAGGAGTGGTGAGCATCTTCTACTGAGCAGCTCACTTGAACAGTCCCCATGTGTATACACATACAGTAGAACCTCTACTCATGACCACAGTCTGTTCTGGAGGCCGTTGGAAGTCGAAATGGGTCGCGGGGAGAGGCGCCGTTGTGCGCAGGCGTGGGCGGCAATTCCCCGTTCCTGCGCATACACGAACGGCAGCAAATCCTCCGTTACTACTGGGTTTGCCACGGATGTTGGGTGAAATGGACACGAGCGGAGGTGGACGTAAGAAGAGGTTTGACTGTACTTGAATGTGCCTAGCACAGGAGAATTTTCCATTTACATAGCTCCGTCCTGCTCTGCCTCTTGATAGTGCCACAGATCCATCACATAAGGCAGCTGTCTCACTTTCCTTAGGGGAGGGTCACCTTGGGAAATTGCGTTGGAATGGGAGCAGCCTCTGCAGTGTAATGGCTGAAGAGCTGGGCTTAGGATGAGGAGACCCCTGTCAACCCTGAAGCTTTGGACAACTTACTTTGGAGGGTCATGGTGAAGAGAAAATGGTTTGGTGGGAACAGTATACCGCCCTGAACTCCTTGGAGGGTAAATGGGGTAAAAATACAGTTAGCAGTGAATTTCTGAGTGTAATTAAGTTTAATAGAGCTTAAAGGGCATAGGATTCCAAACCCCAAAGCACCTTTAAAAAAAAAAGTCAGCATAATCAGTTATAAATGTTGGAAGTAAGGAAAACCCCTCTTCCTGGAGGACATAGACTAGGTGAGCGTAAATGTTTCATTTGCCTTTTGACACATTAAATAGTTTTATTTTTTCAAATGTCCCATCTTGCTCTGTCCTGAATTGGGATTAAATAATGCTTTAAATTTAACAAATTTAAAATCAAATGAATGTTTTCAGGCAGCTGTGGCAGGCTTGATTTTGGAATACACGTTCAAACTTGAAAGATTATCCAATCTCAAATTTGCTGTGCATGCATGGCACATCAGATTGCAGCTTTCAAACCACACAAAGTGTTTGTTGGAATTTGCATTCTGCCCTCGATCCACAGATCTCAGGTTGGTTCACAACAGTGAGGTTTAGTTTTGTTCTTAATTTTATTATGTATTTTGTGGTTTTTATATAGTAAATTTATGTTGTGAACCGCCCTGAGATCTTTGGGTATGAGGCAGTATGCAGTCGCCAGGATCGGTGTCATAGGCTCAAACCATCTTGCCCTAGTGAGCAGCCTGGCCGCTGAATTCTGCACTAGCTGAAGTTTCCGAACTGTCTTCAGAGGCAGCCCAACGTATAACACATTGCAGTAATCTAATGTAAAGGTGATGGCTTTTGGTTTGTAACATATTGCTGTTAGATTTTGTCTACAGGTAATGCAGCTGTAAAAAAATGTTCCTTTTTCTTTTGAATGACAGTACCTAGAAATTCAGCCATCATTCTGTGGACACCTGCAGTTTCACATTGTTCCCCTTGCATTGTATGGCTTTTTGGTCCCAGTATTCAGTTTCCCGCCTCTGTACATGTGTGTGCATGTGCTTGGGTACGCATGCACACATGTAGTTGTAAATACACATCTTCCGACTGAGGGTATCATTCATGCATCTGATGAAATGGACTTCAAAGTCCGCAAAAGCTTATGTTCTTAACATTGCACATTACCGGTTGCTGTGTTTGCCGCAGTGAAACCGAACACCCTGGGCTCTCCACTTGACAGTACTCTGCCACACACAGATGTCAAGCTCAAAGCCGATAGCATTTGAAATGTGCATAAATCAAGTTGATATAACTGCTGTTACACAGATTATTATTTTTATGAATTGCAAACAGTGGGTTTTTGGATGCCTCTCTGTGAACATTGCCCAAGCACTAATAATTCAGAAAGTGTTTTTTCCCCAAGTGCAATATGCCTCTGTATCCACCCTTCCTCATTTTTTGTCTTACTCGTTCCTTCCTCCCTTTGGCCTCAGTTTGAAATTAGGCAGCTGCGGGCTCACCTGGCTCAGCAAGATCTGGACCTTGCTGCTGAGAGGGAGGCTGCATTGCAGGTCCCACACATGCTGAACAAGCAGAGCAGCAACCGATACAAAGTTGTGGCGGCTGGAGGGGATTCCGACGACGAGGCAACTGAAAACATCTCAGAATTGCGGGCGCCTCGGGGTGAGTAGTAGAGCCGGCTGCTTAATGCCACCGAACACGGTCCAACTGAGCACTGGTGCTATGCAGTCTTTGTTCATTTTAGTGGGACTTGTGTAGAATCTCCAGGGTCCGGGGGTGTGTGGGGGGGTGGATAAGCAGTTGTGGTTTGCCAAGATGAAGCTGCCAGGAAATTCATAGCATCCTAGAACTGTAGAATTGGAAGGTGCCCCCAGGGTCATCTAGTCCTACCCCCTGCAATGCAGGAAGCACAGCTAAATAATCCTTGACATATGGCCATCCAACTTCTGTTTAAAAACCTCCAATGCAGGGGATTCCACCACCTTCTGAGGAATAATAATAATAAATTTCTTGTAGCCCACCCATCTGACTGGGTTGCCTCAGCCACTCTGGGCAGCTTCCAACAAAGTATAAAGGAACACACCAAAACATCAAACATTAAAAGCTTCCTCAAACAGGGCTGCCTTCAGGTGTCTGTGAAAAGTCATATGATTATTTACCTCTTTGACACCTGGTGGGAGGGCGATCCACAGGGTGGGCACAACTACTGAGAAGGCCTTCTGCCTGGTTCCACGCAACCTCACTTCTTGCAATGAGGGAACCACCAGAAGTAGCCCATTCCACTGTTGAACACAACTTAATGTCAGAAAGTTCTTCCTAATGTTTAGTTAGAATCTCCCTTCCTGTATCCTGAATCCATTGGTTTGGGTCCCACCCTCTGGAGCAGCAGAAAACAAGCTTGCTCTGTCTTCCGTGTGGGAGCCCTTCAAGCATTTGAAGATGGCCATCATATCACCTCTCAGTCTTCTGTTCTCCAGACTAGACAGACCCAACTCCCTCAACCATTCCTCATAAGGCTCTATTTCCAGATGACCCCTGGTCATCTTGGTCTCCCTCCTCGGCACACCTTCCAGTTTCCCAATATCCTTAAACTGTGGCGCCCAGAACTGGATGCAGCACGCCAGGTGGGAATTGGGAACTGGGTTTGCTCTCTCAGCAGTTTTGTTTCCAGATAAGTCTCTCTGAAATTTTGGGCTGGAACTCATACCATGAGCTTCTCCTGGTGAGCATGTGAAGTGTTCCCCCAGGAAAGATTACAGTTACCTTGTTAAAGCACCCATAGGTGTGCTCTCTTCTTTGGACAGCCTGACATATATCTCCCCGTAAGGTTCCTTGGGGCCCCTCTCCTATAACACTTCATTTATTTTTACCTTTTGGTAAAAATAGGTATTTTGCTATACCTATATTGCTGCCCAATAGCGCATGTTCTCTGGGTGGTTCACATAAAATTAGCATTTTATTCGAGAGCTGCAGGAGTTAAAGAAGTGGGTGCAACCTCACATTTTATTTTTATTTCCAGGGGGTATTTTTTTAATTGACTGGCGTTGAGAACGAAATTCAACTGAGTGAAATGGCAGTATAGTAAAATGTTGGAAAGCGTGGCCTTAGTGCTAGAGCAGGCCAGCTACCCAACATGGTGCCCACTGGAAGTTCTTGGACTCTAACTCCCATCAGTTACAGGTCAGGGCTGGTGTGGGTTGTAGTCCGAAGGGCGCCACATTGGCTACTTCTATGCTAAAGTGTGTGGTCAAGATCAAGCCACTTTCCGCAAACATTTGTTTCAGTAAAGGAAGATTCTCAGCAAAGACTTTCTCTCTCCCTCACGATAGCAAAATGACCCCCATTTTTTTTGGAGTCCGTGACAAAATATCCATGCCAAATCAATAGGCGTTTTCTGGCTTTGTTTGTATTTGGCCCTGTGGCTTTTAAGAGTAATACTTTGCTTTTCCTGGAGCAAAGAAAACTTGCCACCTTTGTTATAGTATGTACGTCAGGGATGGGAAACCTGTGACTTACTAGATGCTGCTGGACTCACAACTCCCATCAGTCGCAGCCAGGATTGCCAGAGGTCAGAGGAGATGGGAGCTAGAGTCCAGCAACCTGTGGAAGGTCTCAGGTTCCCCACCCCAATATAAGTGAACATTTCAAAATTGAAAAGTCTGCAGGAAGCGATTAATTTTGTGAATTTTGTGCAATAAATAATTCCTATTTGTTTTGCTGCCTGCACACTCCCCTCCCATGAGAAAGGGCGATTGGAAGATTTCTCAGCCTACCAGTAAGCTGTTGCACTAGTTGGCAGCAGCAGCAGGGAGGTGAACGTGGATGGGATGGAGCCCCTCCTGGTCCTATAAGTATTTCTGGCACAAACAAATTCATGGTCAGTTTTGTTGTGCTGTATGATCAAATCCCATTTACCGCAGGCATGCCACTTTCCAAACTGGGTTTGCATCTAGCCTCCTTCATCCATTTACCCCTTTTTAATAAGATTTCTTAGTACCTTCCTCATGAGGATACTTTATAATTTATGCATGTTTTCCTCGAGGGTTACATTAGGAATGGACGAGAGTGGTTCACAATTCTAAGTAGGTCTGCTGAATTTATTGTGCTTCTGAGAGTCAGCCTTAAACTTTTATACTTTCTAGACTTTGTTTTCAGGTTGCCACAAGCACATAGTGTTCAAAGGCTTGGTCATGCATAAAACATAGCCAGATAAATCATTCTTGAATGTTGGTACATTACATTAGTACACTTAAGCGTGCAGAAGATTCACAGCCCGCTTGGAAGCAAGTCTGACTAAAATCAATTGGACTTAATTTTCAAATGTGTGCCTTTTAGAGATGGAAAAGCAGAATGCAGCATGTAACAAAAGGGAGTTTTTCTTTGATGTAATACGGACAGTATGTCTTCTGAAGTTCCTAATGGTATTGTGCATATATCTAGTGTATTCATGCTTTGTGAAAGTTTTCATACACTAGACATAGATTCCATAGCTTCTCTCCTATTCTACATTTGATTTTGATCTTTTTTGGAAGTATAAATATTGTGCTTTTAGCATAGTTGAATATATTGAGACAGCATCAATCAGCTAAAATAACTGTCGTAGAATGAAATAGAAATGGGGCCTCTCATGGGTTTTATGTCAACTACACAAAGAAACATCAGAATATAGTATGAACTATTTTATTTTTAATTCATTGAAATATTTATTTCCTGATTTTTACACCAAACTCCTTCCTAGGGCACTAACCGTCCGAGACAACTTGGGACTAGAGAGGTAGTGTGGAGTATTACCCTAGATTTGTTTTGTTCATCTCAAGAAATCCTGGTAAATATAATGAATCTTTATGCACAGAGGGCAACATCAGATTTTAGTTCCGTGCTTGCCACATATCCCCACACGAATTTCACCACCAATAATTGCCAAGCTTCTGGAATTTTTCCCTGCACATCTATGTTGCATTTCTCTTTCACTGTGACATGCTGATGTTGCAGTCTGTGGGCAGAGCCACACCATGCTTTTAAAGCCCATCCATCACACAATGGCAGCATGTAACTTCCCACCAAAGAATCCTGGGAACTGTAGTTTGTTAAAGGTGCTAGGAATGGTAGCTCTGCAAGGAAAACTGCCTTTTGCCTGATGGAAATGGCCTGACACGGAACCACCAATTGCATTTGGCCGTTCAGGCGTGGGTCACAGCATCAGAAAACTCTGAAGCCTTCATCAGTGTGCCTAGAGAGGCAGAGGCATAAACCAGGCTGGGCAGTCATTTCCTGTGCAAAACCTGCCTTCAGGTCTCCTCAAAATCCTGCAGGTTTAGAGACCTTCAATTCTGCCTTGAACAATGGGCTTTTAGTGAGCTGAATTACCTAATTCATGAGAAACAGGATATTCCCTCTAAAGCTAATTATATCTCCCCCACCCATAAGGAACAATGGAAACATTCAGCGTGGGCTACTTGACCATGAAGGGCCGCAAAATTCCAAGAGAAACGTTAGACTTTTGCTGATTTCTCCTCCCCTCCCTTCATAATGATATTTTTATGGAGCAGTCCATAAGTTAAAGCTCCTTGGAGAGCAGCTGAAAATTTCACTGGTGTATTTACCTGGGACTTTGTGCAATGTTGGAAGTCCTCAAAGCCACAGGATCATGTTCTGTGTGCTACAGACACCAGCGATGCAAGCTGTACTTAACTCTTAAACAGTGCAGTATCCAGATAACTTTTCAATGATTACAGACAGTTTGCAGTTAGTTCTTAACCCACATGTTTATTTTTACCTACACAGGTGATTGACAATTGGGCAACTCTGCCTGCCTGTCAAAGTTGATGCATGGGGGTGGGGAGGGGAGGATCTGGCCCACCAGCCAGATCCCGTCCTCCCTCTAACGTGCTGGGAGCCAGAGCAGCTGTGTAAAACTCGGACCCAATTCACAGCCTCATAGCTATGTTTGGCCTTCCTGCATCTTCCCAGCCATCATCCAAAGTGCCTTATTTGAACGGTACACCCATGCGTAGGTGCCTAGTGACATAGGCAGTGGGACAAGAGCAGCGGGCAGATGGGGAGTGACAGCATCCGATCTGGAGATGTGTGTGTTTGTGGTCAGAGCGGGTGGCGGCGGCGGCAAATTACTTAAATTTCATTTCTCCAGTTACAGAATGACCAAAATGGGGCTTTTTGGGGTGTTCATAGGAATTATGTCAAAAATACTTAAATATAAAGAAGATGCCCAGTCTTTTCTGCTAGGTATGAAGAATCTCATTCTGGCAACCAGGCAGGGATGTTCTTTGCACATCTGAGTAGAGTTGGTTTTCATTTTCAGGCTAATTGTGTTGGAAATGACTTGTGAAGGTTTTGACTAATGAAGAATGGGAATGCTAAAACTTTATCTAGCATTTGGATGGAGTATTCACATCTTTGTAAAATGTTACCTATTCGCATATTGCTAGCAGAATGTTCTGCAGATGCCAAAGAAAATCTTTGACAGTATATGGCAGTCATACCAGTATCAACCTTTTTTCTATTGAGTTTGCTCCTGTAAAAATCCTTTTAAAACTTGGAGATAAAAGCCCCAGTCTTCATGGCATGCCAAGATCACAAAGTTAACTCATAGTATTTCCTTTTCAATCCATTAATCTTTTTCTTAATACATTATTAGAAATACA